TTGCCACCGCTGCCTGTTGCTTAGCCCCCGACTAGTTTTTTTTAAAAACTATAGTCTGGCCCTCCAACGGTCTGAGGGACAGTGAACTGGCCCCCTGTTTAAAAAGTTTGAGGACCCCTGGGTTAGGCCTATATGCTTGCCTATAAGTCTGTTAGTTGATCTCTAAAATTGTGTATTTACTTTGGTAAAAGCTGGGAAAACTATACACTAGTATGCATCTATACACTGGATGGTGGTTTTTATGGATGAGACACTTTTCTTCCTACTTTTCAAAATTTTAATAATATGGTTATATTACTTTTATAGTGAAATTTTTTAAATAAAAGCTCTTCAAAGTACAATTACAATCACATGACGTTATGATGAGAACCTTCCCGCCTAAAAACACCAGGACACATGGCCTGGCTATGGTCTGGCCATAAGTCACAGAGTTTTTGAAACTGTAATTATTCCCCCAGATCTAGGACTCAAACATATACATAAACTGGCCATTGGTGGCTATAAGCCAGACATGACTAGGACCACTCAGCTGTATTTTTAAAAAATATATTTTATTGCCGAAACCGAGAGAGGAAGGGAGTGATATAGAGAGTTAGAAACATCAGAGATGCAACTTGCAGATTTTCTTTTTTAAAAAAAACCTATTTTATTGATTTTTTTCCAGAGGTGAAGGGAGAGGGATAGAGAGCCAGAAACATCGATGAGAGAGAAACGTCGATCAGCTGCCTCCTGCACAGCCCTTACCGGGGATGTGCCTGCAACCAAGGTACATGCTCTTGACCGGAATTGAACCTGGGACACTTCAGTCCACAGGCTGATGCTCTATCCAGTGAGCCAAACCAGCTAGGGCCACTCAGCTATAGTTGAGGCAACCTCCTCCGGACACTATGTTGTAAGTGACTCAAGGCCACCCACAGTGCCATAGTCCCAGGAGAGTAGACGCTGTCAGAGGACCAAATAAAATCGTCACCTTGCTGTGGCTAAAACCGCATCTTCAGCAATGGCCCCACCCAGGACACTTCTGTGTTCGTAGCATCATCATTCCACACAAAGGAAGCCCCATCAGTCCCAACTGAGGTGAACACTGGTACAGCGGCCTGGCAATGTCATGGC